CGGGGCGGGGTCGAGGCGGCGTCGGGGCGGCGTCGGGGCGGCGGGGCAGCGTCGAGGCGGCGGGGCAGCGGCGTCGGGAGAGGAGAGGGGAAGGGGATCGAGGGCGAGGGCGAGGGAGAGAGAGGGGATAGGGAGGGGTCGGGGAGGGAATATGGATGGGGCACGGCACAATACTAATAGCGCACCACCCTTCTGATACTAATGGCGTATCAGAAGGTGGTGCACCATTAGTATATACTAATGGCGCACCGCTTGTCTGGTGCGCCATTAGTGTCAATCCCATCTATAGCCCTTTTTCTAGTAGTGCCTTTTACTGGACGGGGAGGTTACTATGCATTTGTTTGGCGATTAATTAGGCGCATATCCTTAACTACCGTAGCTCCAGCGCATCAGTTATTCCTGCCAATCGTTAGCAACCTTGGGCCCAGAGAAATGTGAGGTACGCCCTTTAAACTATGATGGAGGGAGTAGTAAAATATAAATTTTTAAAAGTCTATTAAGGACATATCTAAATGTGCCTTAATTATTGCACATCTAAATGACTCAATCAAAGAAGAAAGAAAGAAAAAGACAAAAAAGATGCTTGCACGAATCCTAGCATAAAATCAATGACATGAAACTTAAATGTACAATACTTAGAGCACATCTAGATGTGCTTTAGCAAAACTGCTTAAATAAAATGTTTGAATCCATCCAATTAAGTGTATGAGTATTGAGTTGACGCAACCAGACAAAAGAAAAAAAATGAAAATATTACGAAGTTCTCACTATGACGCATCTGAGTTTGAGTATGGCCTCGGCAAGCTCTCGAATTTTTTTCATACTTGTTTCGGAAACTGTGAACACGACAGTTGTGCTAATTAGACACCTATACGCATTTTAATAATTTTATTTTGCTAAAGCATATCTAAATATACTTTAAGTATTGCACATCTAAGTTCTATGTTATCGATTTTACGCTAAAATTCATGCAAGCATCTTTTTTTTTTCTAATTTGATAGTCATTTAGACGTGCAATAATTAAGGCACATCTAATTATGTCCTAGAAGATATTATTGCAATACAAAGTTTTCTATCTGTATGGCACGTTCTCTCTCCACCGCCAACGGCCGCCAGACGGTGGTCTACTCAAAGACTTCGGCGAGACGAAAGGCCGAGCATGAGCGGCGTAGCGGGCATCCCATGCTTGCCTAACAGTGAAACGGTGGGAAACCAGGCATGAGAAGCCATCAATATCGCTATGGGCGGACTTCGAAATAGTGTCAGCCAATCTTCGTCTTGGCAACAGGTGGCCTGTAACAGCCTCCAGCCTACTTGGCGATCCCATTTTTTCTCGGCGATGAGGGTGAGCTCCTCGTGCATGGCCTCCTCGTGCAATATCCGTCCCTCCTCCGTGAACAGCGGTGAGTCTAGCCATAGGGGAAGCAGCATGGCGAGGACGAGGATGGAAGTGGAGTTTTTATTTTATTTTTGAACAGGGGAAGGGTCCAGAAGGACCGAGTATTGGATTAGTGAAAGCGGTGTGCAATACACAGACTCCACTTGGTCCGGCAACACCTTACGGTTGCACCATAGACTCCACTTCGAGCAGAACTGTCTCCCTTGTTGGTATCATGGCCGGGAGGAATAAGACTGGCCACCATTCGTCCTGAAGATTCAGCAGCTCGTCGCAGAAGGCCAGCCAGCCGTCGAGGACGTCGTAGCTTCTCTGAGTCCACCGCTGACTGTGATCAAGATCCCCATTGATTGCATCTATATGCACGCCGGAGGCCCTTTTCTCGATCAAGAGACGACACTACCCTCGTAGGAAGCTATGATCCGACGAGGAAATGCACCGGTGGAGAAAACCACCCCGGGATCCTCTTCATTAATTTGTCCCTTCCGCGGCAGCCAGGATAGAAGCGAGGGAATCGCCATAGGGACTTTTATTCACGGATGGTCAAAGTTTTAAGACTTTGACATAAGATAAAAGCTAGATGTACATTTATTCACGGACGAAGGGAGTATATCCTTCACCATGGAGGTCGTGCAGAAGTCAACGGCGGCGACCACCGGATGCTCCTCGCGAGCTCCGGTGACCAGTTCCCCGATGGCATGACGCCAATCCACGGCACAAGGCCGAACTCCGGCAATTGGCAAAACACTACTAAAACAACAACCCTACACGTACTACTACAATAGACAGGAGCAACCCAAGCTACCCTCTCATCCCCACTCCGCTCGGTGGTGCCGTCGGAGGAGAAAGAGAGGGGAACCGGGGAAACTATGGGGAGTCTCAACGGAGAGGAGGAGAAAGCGAGAGAAAGAGGATAATAGAAATTAGAGAGCCCCCCGAAGTGGAGATGTGGGCGGCTGGGAGATGAGATGGGACGCGGAAATCGTTGACTTTTTATAGCCGCGGGGTAATGGAAAATAGCATGTGCAGCAGGAAATGGTAATGTTATGTTGTGATTGCATCAAGGGCTCTTCGCAGATGACTCAATGGCGTGCATGGCCGGCTATTCAGGCAATTTTTTTTCTTAAAAAGTGAAGTCCACAACAACAATGATACTCGGATTCCATGAGTTAGGCCCATAACAAGGATTTGGCCCAAAAAGGCTGAAATAGCCTGTGTTGTTCCGGCCTCCACTCAGCTGGGCTAAAGTCATGAAGTTCACCCCACTACTTTGCACTACAACGTCCACCCAGCTAGACCGTTAATGGTCTCACTGATCCTGCTCCCTAGAGGCCATGGCATGCAGGGAGGCTCTGTCGCTCATAGAGGACCTAGGACTACACCGTTTCACACAAAAAAAGGGCTACACTACCCGTATATTGCCTCATTGCAGAAGCGTTGTGAATCATACAACAGAGAGTTCTGGGGGCAAGTACGGGGGCATTATCACATAAATCAAAGCTTGGGCGACTTCTTTTACTTGTAATTTTGTTCATAAACTTCGTTTCTCGAATTTTGAGGCAGATAGAATGGCTAGGTATGGTGTTTTGTTAGATCAGTGTGGCATCTTCGGTTGGGATCTCCCCATGATCCTATGATCATACCTGTAACACTACATGTAAATATTATGACTGATCAATAAAACTAGCCAATTGTTCTAAAAAATGCTAGACAGTTAATTTTGCTCAAAAAAACTAGACCATTAATGTGCAATCAAAGCTAGCATTACGACTAGCCACAATGGGAGTAACTTAACCAGTAACATCACACATTTCAATACAAGATTGTTTATGTGGCAGCTAATTAATGAGGAGAGAGGGGTTTGTGGTAACTTAGATAGTTACTGTAACATCACACATTTCAAAGCATCATGAGTCTATAGCCTAATAAATAAAATTTTTCATGATACCACTCGTATGTTATTACCTACTATGGAGGTAGTAACATAGACTAGTAACATCGACAAGTTACTACTCTATGTTACTCCCTATTGTGAGCAGTCTACAAGCAGCGCCATCAACCTGTTGTTATTGTCATCCAAAAAAAAAACCCCTGATGTTATTGTACTCACTGCAATATTACTATTGCATGGCCGGCTGGCCGTTGTGCTCCCGGCCTCGTCAGCCATATAAATTGCGAGGCTAGGCGAGAATCTTGACATCAGTGGACTACACTAGAACACCATTTTAATTTTTGTGTGGGTGAACACTAGAACAACATTGTATTCAAACTCCTCATATAAAACTTCTAGCAGGAGTAGGGTATTATACCTCTAAAATAAAGGACCCGAACCCGGGTAAAACCCGTCATGTGAATCCCGTACCTACATCATCCCCCAAATCATGTATATTGTCCAATAGTGATATTGTCACAAAATCTGTGTGACACATATCGTTTGAGCTATTATACACATAAATCATATAAAATTGGCATTTAAACAACATCTTCAACGCACATGGGCATTTGAGACTTTCATCACCACCTACGGGCGCACCAGCCACACAAAAAAGCAGTTTTCCATACATTTTTTTTTTGCCTTCTCAACTTCTACTAGCTCCAGGGCCTCCAGCCTGGTTGTCATTTCAGTCTCAGCCCAAACAATAAGGGTCTAAGATAAACATTGGAATATGCAGCCTTGGATCGGAATACTATAATCTTTTTATTAGCATGCAATCAAATTAACATTCTCGGACACAATCTTTGCATTTCAGGATGCCAACATGTCCCTAGCACCCCAATTAAACTCCCTCGTCGGACATTCACCGTCACCGCGAAGCAAATCCACCACCTGAAGCAATGCATGTCTGGCCAGACGACCTCCGGGAAGGCCGCCACAACGTCCATGTCGTCCAGCTTCGTGGCCATCGCGGCGGTCGCCTGGGTATCCTTCGTCCGGTCCAAGCACCCGTCCGCCATCTCCACCAACCATAACGTCTATCTCTTCTTCTTCATCGACTGTCGCGGGCGGCCTGGCATTGACCCGCCCGTGAGTGAGAACTACTTCGGGACATGCATCACCGGGTGCCTCGTAAAGGCCATGGCACAGGACCTCCTCGCTGTTGACGGTGTCGCAGCCGCCTCGGCGATGATTCAGCGGGAGGTCCAGCGAGCAGCGGCGGACCCGCTCGCCCTTTGGGACTGGTTGGACATTGTATCGTGGGTGCCACTCGACAAGATGGTGAGCATCAACGGGTCCACGCGGTTCAAGGCGTACGAGGTGGCCGGCTTCGGGTGGGGCGCGTCGAGCAGGACGGAGTTGGTCACCATGAGCGACGGGCGGGTGGTGCTTGTCGCGGCCAAGAACGGCGGAGTGCAGGCATCCGTGTGCATGCACCTGGATCATGCCAGCGAGTTCAACTCGCACTTCCTTAATTCTCTTGGTTGATTCATGTGTATGCAATATGATTTTCGATGCAAATGGACGGCGGAAATTAAAAGTTACCTTGTTGCCATCACTCCGCTGGAATTGGTGAACTAGCCAAGCCAATTTCCTATGAGACCTTCCGTAGTGCGGCTATCGTAGTGAGTATCCTGCAACTACATGTACTTTGTAGTATTTAATTTGGAAAGAGAGAATATTAGTATCATAGCATGATGTCCTATCATATCAAATGAAGTATGAATACGAGTCATGTAAAATGGAGTAATAATAATTGGACTTATGATAGTATGCACTATGAAAACAATATCATACCCTGGATCATATGCATGATATTAACTTATGTCCCCGCAAAAAAAAGATATTAACTTATGATAATACCCACTACGAAAGATCCGAAGAAGACCAAGGTGACGTCACTGGTAGAAAAAGGGCCTGTTGTCCCGATTCGTAAGGGCCTTTTGTCCCGGTTCCTGAACCGGGACTAAAGGGTCGGTACTAATGCCCTGCCCCTTTAGTCCCGGTTCAATCCAGAACCGGGACTGATGGGCCTCCACGTGGCCTGTGCGCGGAGCCCAGGCAGGAGACCCTTTGGTCCCGGTTGGTGGCACCAACCGGGACCAATAGGTATCCACGCGTCAGCATTTCTGTGGCTGGAGTTTTTGTTTTTTTTTTTAAGGGGGGGAGGGTTTGGAGGTTTTGGGGGGTTAATTTAGGTGTTTCATATATTGTGTTAGCTAGCTATAATTAATAGAGAGAAGTGTCCTCTCTTATGTCCGTGCTTGGTTGACGCTACGTATTATACATACGTATAGAGAGGACTAGACACGCTAGCTAGCTAGTAAGCAAACGAAGGAAACAGAAGATCGTCATGAACATATATGCATACGGAGAGAAGTGATATCGACCACCTCTCCTTCTCCAAGAGATTGGTCGAACAACAAGTTCTCGTATATCTATCCGACACTACCGGCTACATATATACAATAATTATCTCTTACAAATATAATCATACGGACTTATGGTCCACATAGTATTCTCCGTCTTCAGCGATCACGTGGTCAAGAAAGAATGCCGCCAATTCCTCTTGAATTGCTCGCATGCGAGCTGGTGCTAGGAGTTCATCCCCCTTCCGAAACATCTAATTTGAAGAAGGGAGTCAATACACACACACACACACACACACACACACACATATATATATATATATATATATATATATATATATATATATATGAATGAATGAAACTCAACACAAATGATGGTAATAAAATAAAATTGTGAATGTTGTTATTTACGTACTTCATATTGTTCATCAGTGTAGCCCCGCTCACAGGTCGTGTGGCGGATGGACTCGCAAACGTAGTATCCACAGAAATCATTCCCTTTTTCCTGCCACAACCACTTTACAAGAAATAAAGGTCAATCAAACTGATAAGCAAGAATGCCAAATCAATAGGAGATGCGCGGAACATGCTACTATAGTACTTACTTTCGGGTGTCTAAATTGCAGCTTCTTCGGGAGTCCTGGAGCTTTTTTGGAGAATTTTTTCCAAACGCTGCCAGACAAAGAAAACAATTACTCGACATATCAGGAAATGAACAAAGTTGCTGATATGGTGGATAATGATCGATTTAACTTACTTCTCGAGCATTTGAGTCATGTTCGCATAGTCCTGGGGATCTTTTCGTTTTGAGTCTAAGACAGTTACTAGTCCCTGCTCAAGCTTAATCTCTAGGAGAATATAGTGATAACTGCACACACATGCATAACTCATCAATTACATTACTATAACCTTGACTAATATATATATAAGGGAAACCGAATACGCACAAGATAGTAACACTCACTTGAAGTTGTAAGGAAAGAGTATTATATCTTTGTTTTCATTTATTACCAACGATCGTAGCAAGTTGGCCTCGGTATCTGCGGCATGAAATTTAACCTGAGTTGCATCTATGAGATATGTGTTAATGAACCCAATATCACCGACTTGTCTTTTCTTCAATTCGGCGATCTTCAATCTGCATAATATAGTGAGGATGATTATAAATACATGCAATGAAAGAGCTGAGCTATATAGAGAGACTTAATGACAGAAGTAGTATTACCTACAGATAGTAGCAGGTGACCGTTGTTTTATCGAGGGCCAATTGATTGAAAAACTGAAAGAACTCCTCAAATGGAACATGCAACAGTTCAATTCCAACGAGCTCATGCTCCTTTTTAACTTTCACATACAAAGTACTCCTCCCCCAGAGTCTCTGCATATTTTCAAGTACCAATCATGCAATCTTCGCATCATCGTTGATAGAGATCTTTCATCTTTGACGAGAGGCTTCACGTACTCGTATCTTTGTATCTGCACCTCCATGGGTTCATAATGTACATCGTCGGGCAGGTAATCGGCAAGATTGCTATAACCGGGCACCATCCTCGGATCATTAGCGATGTTGTCGCTAGGCACCTTGAGCGGGGGGCACGATTGCCTCGCTTGTTCGCCGAGCTGGGCAATTTGTTTCCCAGCTCGTCGTTCTTTCAGCCTTTGATCACTGACAGTACTTCCCGACCGCTCCGCTTCGGCAAATTCCTTTCCAATAATGCGCTCATAGTTTCCTTTCGGCGGAGACTTGGGTGGTTTTGTCAGGGCAGCCAGAGTGCGCTGCGCTTTCACCGGATCTACCTTCTCCTCCGGAGGTGGATGTCTCTTTGGTTTCAACCCTTGAAACCAGTCATCCACTTCGGTTCGCGCGATCTCGGCGTTCTCCTCCGGGGTATATACTTTCAGTGTCATCTAAACAGTGCGTGCATGTGTGGTATCATTTGTTTGTCTGTCTTGAAAGGTTACTGAGAGCGGGCCAATCGTTGATGGTCACGAACAGCAACACCTTAAGGTTAAATTCCTCATGTCTGTGCTCATCCCATGTACGTACACCGTTTCCATTCCACAGCTGTAAAAGTTCTTCAACTAATGGCCTTAGGTACACATCAATTTTGTTGCCGGGTTGCTTAGGGCCTTGGATGAGAACTGGCATCATAATGAACTTCCGCTTCATGCACATCCAAGGAGGAAGGTTATACATACATAGAGTCACGGGCCAGGTGCTGTGATTGCTGCTCTGCTCCCCGAAAGGATTAATGCCATCCGCGCTTAAAGCAAACCATACATTCCTTGGGTCCTTTGCAAACTCATCCCAATACTTTCTCTCGATTTTTCTCCACTGCGACCCGTCAGCGGGTGCTCTCAACTTCCCATCTTTCTTTCGGTTCTCACTGTGCCATCGCATCAACTTGGCATGCTCTTCGTTTCTGAACAGACGTTTCAACCGTGGTATTATAGGAGCATACCACATCACCTTCGCAGGAACCCTCTTCCTGGGGGGCTCGCCGTCAACATCACCAGGGTCATCTCGTCTGATCTTATACCGCAATGCACCGCATACCGGGCATGCGTTCAGATCCTTGTATGCACCGCGGTAGAGGATGCAGTCATTAGGGCATGCATGTATCTTCTCCACCTCCAATCCTAAAGGGCATACGACCTTCTTTGCTGCGTATGTACTGTCGGACAATTTGTTATCCTTTGGAAGCTTCTTCTTCAATATTTTCAGTAACTTCTCAAATCCTTTGTCAGCCACAGCATTCTCTGCCTTCCACTGCAGCAATTCCAGTATGGTACCGAGCTTTGTGTTGCCATCTTCGCAATTGGGGTACAACCCTTTTTTTGATCCTCTAACATGCGATCGAACTTCAGCTTCTCCTTTTGACTTTCGCATTGCGTCCTTGCATCGACAATGACCCGGCGGAGATCATCATCATCGGGCACATCGTCTGGTTCCTCTTGATATTCAGCAGCTTCACCCGTTGCAACATCATTGGGCACATCGTCTGGTTCCTCTTGATCTTCACCAGCTCCCCCCGTTGCAGCATCACCGTATTCAGGGGGCACATAGTTGTCATCATACTCTTCTTCTTCGCCGTCTTCCATCATAACCCTTATTTCTCCGTGCCTTGTCCAAACATTATAGTGTGGCATGAAACCCTTGTAAAGCAGGTGGGAGTGATTGATTTTCCGGTTAGAGTAAGACCTCGTATTCCCACATTCAGTGCATGGACAACACATAAAACCATTTTGCTTATTTGCCTCAGCCGCATCGAGAAACTCATGCACGCCCTTAATGTACTCGCGGGTGTGTCTGTCACCGTACATCCATTGCCGGTTCATCTGCGTGCATTATATATAATTAAGTGTCCAAATTAATAGAAGTTCATCATCACATTAAAACCAAAGTGCATACATAGTTCTCATCTAACAACATATAGCTCTCCAGAGCATCTAATTAATTAAACCATACATTGAAACTATGTAAAACATTTCAATGCGAAAACAAATGCGATCATAATCGCAACCAAGGTAACAATTGATCCAACGGCATAATGATACCAAGCCTCAGTATGAATGGCATATTTTCTAATCTTTCTAATCTTCAACCGCATTGCATCCATCTTGATCTTGTGATCATCGACGACATCCGCAACATGCAACTCCAATATCATCTTCTCCTCCTCAATTTTTTTTATTTTTTCCTTCAACAAATTGTTTTCTTCTTCAAGTAAATTTAACCTCTCGACAATAGGGTTGGTTGGCATTTCCGATTCACATACATCCTACATAAATAAAATCTATGTCACGTTGGTCGGCATAATTTTCATAAACAATAGATGAACCAATAGTTATAAAGATAATATATATACCACATCCGAATCATAGACAGGACGAGGGCCGACGAGGGTGGATATCAAAACCATCGCACTATATAAGATGCAATAATAAAAGTATATATGTAAACATACAAGTAAGAATATTTTTCCTTTCAGAAAAAAGATAAGAACAAGAGGCTCACCATGGTGGTGCCGGCGATGAGCTCGGCGCGGGTGATCGACGGCGGTGAAGACGGGGACGGGGCGTGACGGACCGCTAAACCTAGACAAATATTATGGAAAA